TTTAACGGAGATAATACGATAGTGGAGACAAATTAAACATGGCGGCATGTAATAACACCGTAAACTGGCAGCAATAAAACGTATTAACCCACAGAGGTGTATAACATATTACTTTGATGATATTATTATTATTTGTTATTATGACAGGATTTAGCGAATAGTATACGATTACGTCATACATCTCTTTGCATACCTCCACTTTTAGTTAACTACTGTACATATGGTAAACGCGAAAAAGTCCAACGTTCACTGTTAGACATATGCCTTCCATTAACTGCTCACATTTATTGCTCCTTGACGCTGTGACGTGAATGGGATAGAATTTAACAAACAGAATGACAGAAAACTAAAGAAGACAGTGTATCATACGTGGAATGCATCGTAGAACGTGAAATATTGGCGTAAAATTATATGATGGCCATACATGGTTCTTTAATACCCAGCAAACGACTCCCTTTGTAAAGGTACATAGGCTTGCATCTGTGCGGGAAAAAGTCGATCATTCGTTGTACCCAAAGGGGAACCTTAAAATATTTAACGTTATAATATGATATAATGTAACGGTATGACAGTATGACAAATCTTTTGGTTTGGCATGGGAGCACGTCTATGTACCTTTGCAAAGGGAGTCATGCATAACCTTTAAGTTGATCGTAATACATAACTGTAACAACACGAATGTTGACGACTTGCGTTAGTATACACAGTGTATTCGGTACGTTTTTTAATCATGATTAGAAAATTGTTGACTGGAGGCTATTACAGAAGTTTTTAAAATTTTCGCGTGTCACCGCCTTTTCTTAAAATATACCAACCAGATAATAATAATCAAGCAATAGAACACTGAAAACTATTGTTTTTAACTGTCCGCCCGTGAATGACTTGCCATTTTTTAAATAACACTTCATATTGCACTTTTTTATTGTATTTTTCTCATTTTTTAAGATAATTCTTGTAGGAATATATTTATTTATAACATACGGTTTTATGGTCTCACGACAACTATTACGGCTTGATTATACAACCTAAATATATCTTTTACCGCACTGTTAATTGAGAATTATGTTTGTAATACGATAAGAGGACGGTATATACGAGACACCAGTGACTCATGCCACACATAAAACTTCGACAGGATATTCTATTTCTACATTTCTATAAAAAAAATAGATTACTTGTTTTGTGTAATAATTTAGTTTAGGTCGAACAAGAGTTGCAGTAAAAAATTTTTCTGAAATAGAATTTAAATCATATTTCGAATGCTTTGTGAAAGATAACCAATTTATAATATTCCCGACAACGTAAAAACACATTTCTTTTAGAATATGGGTCGATGAATTCAAATCATAGTTCAAGAAACGAATTTATGTGCAGATGTTCTACTACAAAAAATATAAAACCAAAACCTAGATTAAAAAAGTCGCAACTACTTATACTGAAGCTTCACCCCATTATTGATTTCACAAGTGATAAAATGGGTCGACAAAGAACCAGTTTTAATTATTACAACATTTAAACATAATAATTGTATCTTGGTTTATTCAGGTGGAAAGAAAAATTAGACACAAGTGCTAAAACCACAAACTATTCTAGATTATAACGTTGAGAAAAAAGAGTTGATTTTAGTGATCAAATGGCTTTTTACAAAAGCCCAATACGCAAAATACTAAAGTGATACCGGAAAGTGGCAGTGGAATTAATATTTAATACCGCAGTAGTCAATACTTAGTTGCTAAATAATAGAAAACGCGAAAAAAGCGACAACCTATCCTTGAGTTCAGACTGGAATTAGCGAAGGCATTTGCAAATAAAGAAATGTTGAAAGTGGAATGAAGGAAGTGTACAAGAGGTTACAAAATTTTAAAAATAAGCGTGACTAGTAGAAAGGCCGATAGAAAAATTAAAAAAGTTAAAACATACTGTGAAGAATGTGATGGCAAAACTGCAATATGTCTAGTGTGCTTCAATGAAGCACATTAAAAAGCAATTTTACTTATACAGGAACTATTATTGAGTAAAAATGTGTTGTGCCTCAAGTGCCCTTATAGTATTGGAAAACGTAAATTGATAGTTTCTAGTGGTATGTTCTTATTGTTAATTACGTATGTTAAAGTAAGTTATAGTATTTGTAAAAAAATGGATGTAAATAATATTATGTGTTCGACATCTAAAAAAGCTAGACGTAAACATAAACGTAGATTGACCACTGCTGAATTACAATCAATTTTAGAAGCATCTGGCGAGGATGATGTAGATTAAATGAATCGTGGAAGTGACTCTGACGAAATATTTGCACAAAGTCGTTTAGAAAAATCGAGGATTGCGTTTTGGAAACAGATAACACAAACAGAATTTAAGACTTTTCTCGGGCTTATATTCCAAATGAGGACAATTAAGATGAACCGTCTAAATGACTACTGGAAAAGTATGGGTAATTTCTATAATAGATCTATCAGTAATTGACTTTCCTAGACAATTACTGATAGCCCATATTAAGAAATAACCGAATACACAATCCCCACTTGTCAAAGAAATTAAAAAAAAAACGTAAAGTGGTCAGTATTTACAGTGCCGAAGGAATATGTGTGACCAAGTGCAGAGATAAACAAGACCTAATTACTATTTAAATGGGAATAAGCCATAATTAAAGGTTAAAGTACGTTTATTGGCATTTCAATTTCCAATTCGGAAATCGTTTTTAAAATAGAAACGTATTTTCGTATTTTGCCGAAAAACCCTCAATTATTTTGCAGTAATTTATAAATGTTAATAGCTTCGTTTGTACATAATGGCATTTAATATAACTAATTTAAATTGGGGCAGTTAATAAGTTATTAAAGTGTGGTATATTTCACATAGATCACAAAGTTATCCAATTTGTTTATCCTAAAGAGCGATTATCTAAACGACTGTACTTGCCCAGATAGTCACTCTGTACTCTGTATACACACGTGTATTCTGTAAATCGAACTCGCTTTTATAAGAGTTCATTTTTTCAACGGAAAAATTTAGTAAGATAGGTCAAAATAGCACAATTCTTATCATTTGGTTGAGCTACCCTAGTAAAGAAATGAAGGTTCTACGTGCCACAGAAGCCGAGACATTAAATATTTTGCAAGCGTGCTTCAATTTAAAGTCCGAATCTAAAAAAAAAAACAAGCTCAGACAGTTTTTACCTCCGTGGTACTTTTCCGTGGCGGTAATTTACGAATACCATTATTTTAATAGGTTGAAACATTTTACTCCTTTACTGTGTATGCCATCTATAACTTCGATCATATATTATAGATCTTAATTCAAAATCCTTTCAATTTTTAGATCTTAGTATTAATAAACAATGAAAATATGATTTAAGAATTAAATGCTATCTTAGTTCTTATTGGTTAAATATGGTTCTGTTTTTGTCTCTTTGTCTTCTTATAAGCCATTAAGATTGCAAATTACAAAATACTTGTACATACAAGTATTGGACAAGTATTTGGACAAGTTCAAAGTGATTTGCTTAATATTTAGCACACCTTAAAAACCCACTAATTGCCATAATTTGAAGTAGCTATATTATCTGCCGTTGGACAAAAAATTAAATTATTAACATTTATAAATTACTAAAAACATAATTTTTAGAGTTTAGGGTTTTTTGCAATTACCTCGCTCAATTATTTATATATTTTAATTTGGTATCCCTCAACATAAAAAACCTTTTATGGTCTACAACTTTTATTTGAATAATTTTTCTTTAGAATGTAAAAAAACGTTTTACAAGCAAAAATTTTTTTGTATCTTTTAAGATTGTTTAAAAAAAAAGAACAAAGCATAATCAACTGTACATCTTTATGAATTTTCATCAGCTACCTCTCATACTATTTATATTACTGTAACATAATTTAAATAACTGTAGAAGATTTTTGAAAACTATTTACCGAGGTTCTGTGAAATACTTTCTTGTTGCATGGTTAAGTTAAATATTATTTTTTATGTATATTATGTATATAAAAATGTAATATTAATTACATTTTTAATTAACTATTATTTATTGTTTATGGTACAAATTATCTAAAATGTGTATACACATTTTGTACAAAAAAAAAAACGTTTTTAAGAACGATTTCCGGAATGGAAATCAAAATGTCAAACATAAGTTAATTAAAAATGTGATTCTTATCAGAATTACAACCAATAATTGAGGCGTAATCCCATAAAAACATAATATTTACCTCAAACTATTCACCGATAGCTTGGATTAAAGAGGTTGTAAATTGAAATTTATGTAAAATATTCCCCTACACAATTCTCTGGGAAAAATATCTACATTAAATAAATATACCTACCATCTAAACACAGAAAAAACCAGTAAACACAGAGTACTTTACTACTACTACTACTACTACATTTTCTGTAGCAAAGTGACTAGTGATAAGTGTAGTAGTGTCTGTGGACTCGGGAGACTGAGACCCCGGAAGCCCTGAAGAAGACATCAGAGAGGATGTCGAAAGCTCGGCCCAATGGATATCGACGCGGTTCAACCCGGAAGACTTGTGAGTTTAATATTAATTTGTATAATAGTATTAATCTTAGCTCTAGGTTTAATTGTACTAGCCGCGGAAATCTTTCCGAACATTATATATATATATATATATATATATATATATATATATAAATATATATATATATATATATATATATATATATATATATATACACTGTTGTAGAACAACTAATAGACGGCTTCCAGAGAAGAACATGTTTTTAGTAGAATATTTATGTAGAATATGTTTTTTTATATATCATTAATTTTAAGTACATAAAAAGTATGTGCCTGACAATATTCCGTCTTAACTCGTGGAAATATAGTCGAAATGTAGACAAAAGTAATTTTTTTATACATAATTAAGTTGTCTAAATACATAACAACAGAATGTTATAAAAAAAGTGCTGCATTGCAAAAAATATGTACTCAGATTTTCAAAATGAATAAAATTTAAAGTCAACAAATTACTTACATCATCATCGCCTTCCAGCAGACTAGAATCAATCAATTGATCTTCATCAACATCTGACAGCATCACAGTTTTAGTTGTTGTAGTGGAACTGCTGCTCCTTTGTCTATTTAATTGTTTGGTATTGCTCCAAGTTATCGATAAAGTCCGATCCTAGTTTAAAAAATTTAATGTCAATAAATGAGGTAATAAATATCAATAATAATTAGAGCTTCAGAAGTTAGTTAGTTTGAAGTAAGCAACTTCAATTGCTCTCAAACTAACATCCTAATTATTATAGACAGGTTTGAGTGTGAGATTTGGATTATTCAATCTACATAAAAAATATACTATATAATTTTATATTTCATCAGTTGATTTCCTATAGTGGTGTCAGTTGGACCTTTGGTCAATACTTAGTTTCATAGAATTTTGAAAGGTGCAGATCACATAACTGCCCTTCACAAGCTGCCATTTGTCACATGTCATCTCGATATTACCGTCAGACCGGGAGCCCATTCTGTCTCCGGCTTCTCCTTTTCAAAAATTTTAAAGTGTTTGTTTGTCTTTGTGTATTGTATTTTGTATTGTTATGTCCAAATTTATATTTATGAAATTCTACTCATGTCGGATAGGCCACAACTGACGAAGTAAGTCTATAAACGTTTATCACATATAAAATTTTTTCAACCATAAACTTGGAGTTTTTTATCCAAGTGAATTAATTTTCCTTTTTTATAAAAAACGTTTCTTGGCTTATTTTAGATGCCCCTGAAGAAGATCTATTGATCGAAAGTACTTGGGCAAGATTAAATTAATCACCGTGTTCGATAGTTGCCTTGTATACCGTCAAAGTTTAAACAAATAGTAGACGATAGAGTTGTTTGTCTGCTGTGATTAAACAAAGACATTAAGTGTACACCTACATTGGAACCGTATTTCTCTCGATCCGATATCGGGCGACGTTGGCCGACGTCGGATTAAAAACAAACTCAAGGTATTAAATCAGTGCCTATACTGCTACGTCATGGAAGCAGTATAGGCACTATGATTACCTTGAGTTTGTTTTCAATCCGACGTCGCCCGATATCGGATCGGGAGAAATACGGTTCCAATGTAGGTGTACACTATGACTGCCCGACAGTGGTGGAATAGGGCTGTTAACTTGCTTGTGGTAATATTGTTCTGAAGCTATTTTCTTGTGGCATTTTAAATTAATTACTATTTAACTGGGAATAAGCCACAATTAAAAATAAAAATACGTTTATTGACGTTTCAATTTCCACTTCGGAAATTGAAACGTCAATAAACGTATTTTTATCTTTAATTGTGGCTTATTCCCAGTTAAATAGTAATTTGCTTGTGTTAGTTCGAAGTTCGTTCAGTTGATCGTTGTTGTGAAGTAGTGTTTTACTTTGAGCTACAATGCATTGTTTATTGTTTTGCTGCCATGTCCGAGAAAAAAAAAGTTGTGTTGACGATTAATCAAAAGTTAGAACTCATAATTACAATTGAAAATGGTGCTTCCCGTAAACTTATGTGCCTTCAGTACGGTATCGGTCAGTCGACAGTGCGAAACATTTTAAAACAAAAGGACAAACTTCTTTCATTTGAATCAATGTCAGAAAGCTCTTCTGTCACGAAGAGAATAAAAACAATGAGAACTTCGTCTTACGTAGAGACGGCGGCGTTAGTAGAATGGGCAGCCCAAGTTCGTAACATGGGTACACCCAGATCAGGTCCAGTAATTGCTGTAAAAGGAAAACAATTTTTGACGTGTTGGACTTAGAAAATGTTGTTGCATCATCTGGTTGGTTGACTCGCTTTAAGCAACGCCATGGGATAAAGGAGATAGGACTTCATGGGGAATCTTAGCGGTGAGCAACAGGGAGATGAGGAATTTAAAAGTGAGTTCCAAGAATTACTTTCTTCAAATGATCTGAGCTAAATTTGCAACGAACAAATTTATAACGCAGACGAATCGGGCCTCTTATGGAAATGCCTTCCAACTCGGACGCTAGGTTTTTCAAGCAGGGGGCCATAAATTAAGCAAAGAACGGATCACGATTATGTCTTGCAGCAACGCTATAGGAACTTACAAACTGAAGTTGACGGTAGTAAATCTTTTACGGGTACTAGAGCAGAAAAACTACCTGTTGATTACTTTACCCGTTGAAAGGGTGGATGGATAAAAAAATTTTTAAGGGTGGTTCGAAGTCAAATTTGTACCAACGTTTAAAAGCAAACAATTTGCCACAAAAAGCAGTGTTGTTGATTTACAACGCCCCCTCACATCCTGAAACACATATGCATAAGTCTGCTGACGGAAAAATATTTGCCCAATTTTTGCCCTCAAACACGACTGCGTTAGTTCAACCTATGGACCAAGGCGTCATTGAGTTTAACAACAGAACAAAGTTACTTTGCTCAAAAATTGAAGAAGGATATGGCTAAAAAGAGTTTTGGAAGTCATTCACTATTATTTACGAAATCGCATCTGCGTGGGAGTCTGTAAAGTCTTTAACAATTTGTAAAGTCATGGAGAAAACTGTAACCAAACATCGAATATTGTGTCGAACTATCAGTTAGAGAAGATGAAAATAAACTGCCTGCCCTTACAAGTTTAATGAAACTCAGTTCCTGGGGGAGAGAATGTTGACACAGCAAACCTGCAAGAGTGGTTGGACTACAACGCTGCCGAACCGGGATTTGAGCATGTAACGCATGAAGGCATCCTTAGAAATTCCCGAGGAGAAAACGAGGAAAGTGATGAATATGGATAGGAGCATATATTTATTTCCTAGCGATACCTATTATATTATGCACCATCTGGTGCATCGAGCAAAAAGACAAAAGAGGGAATCTAATCGTTATGAAAAGGAGACCAAAATTCATAAAAGTGGCCTCTTAATATGGAGGACATATCCGGGAATGCAAAGGCGCCAAATTTAATGTAGCTATAAAATATTTTTCAGAATGAGTCTTAGACAAGAAAATTTTAATTAAATAATAACGATAATAGTCTAAAAATGTGACACAATTGTTAAAAAACTTCAATATAAATAAGCTTTCATGTGATAGTTGGGACAAACAATAACATAACCCAACTAAATTTGATTTCTTAAACAAGGAAAGTGACTCTCTTTCCTTGTTTAATGTGGCCTCTCAAAATAGTATTTCCCGTGTAACAATATTTTGCCCCCACCATGCGTTTACATTCCCTTTTCTGTCTTTTTGCTCGATGAACTGGTGGAAGAGTGACTCACGAAGCGGCCTTGTGTCACGTGAATTAACTTCTAACATACTTAGAGGACCAGGACGACGCGTTACTCGCTGAAAAACTGATGCTGCGTAAAGTGCAATGTAGAATAAAGAAACACGTTTTCCACTCAAAGAAGCAGAAACACATGAAAGGATATTTTAAAAAAATGTAAAAAATATAAGAATACATTGAAATTGTAAATTAAAGCGTTAGGTGAAACATTTTTACATTTATGTATTTAACTTCCAGTTACGGCTTATCCGCGATTTTCCTTAATCACGACAACCGTGCCACTCAAACACACGGATAAACGGGAGTTGACTGTATTTCCTAGCGATACCTATTATATTATGGCAATAAATAATTAAATATATAGTAAAGACTTACCTGGAAATGCTTTCCTTTAAGGAGTGCCATTTCAGCTTCTTTCCTAGTTTTATAGTTTAGTGTTATACTAGGAAGTGAATTATCCACCTCATAATCCACAACTTCGCCATATTGCTATGAAAACAAATAAATACTTAACATTATTAAATTTAAAAATTAATAAATTGAAGAAAAAAAATAATTTTATACGAATAGTGTTCATAATATGTTTCAAGATTTACAAAGACAACTTCCCAAAAGTACTGAAACACCATATTTTGCCAAGAAATAAGGTTGTCAAGTTGTCTTTTACTCGGATACCCGGAGAACATACAAATAGAGATCGATGACTATGCAGAAGATCTCAAACGAAGATTAAGAAATATACATTGGGAAGTTTGAAATATAATGCAGACCGATAGCGATCAAATCAAGACTCAATATGATTTGGAAACTAGGGTACATACTTTTGTAGAAATGGAGAAAGTCTGGTTCTAGAGCCGTAGCAGAATTGAAAAAACATCCCGAAACTAGAGTAACTAAAAAAAGAGCGTGGCACTTGGGGAGTGCCGACAAAAGTAAATACTTCTTATAGTTAATATTATATGCGGATTAATGAAATTTTATATTTTTAAATCTTATTTCATTTTTATATATCTTTATTATTTTTTTATAGTTTTTTATTATTTGTTATAATTTCATTTGATATTATTTAATTTAACTTATTTTATTTTATCTCATACAAATATTTTAAACTCAAAATTAGCCAAGTCATTTTCCAGTTGTTATAAAAAATATATTATATAAAATTATAAGTGTAAATGTATGTATATTATGTATATACATTACGGTATACTGCAAGGTTACTACACGCGTCTCGATTTTTCGAGTCACGCAAAATAGAATTTCGGGGCCGTGCAAACCATCATACCGAGCGATAAGAGGTATTCACTTCAAAACCAAAGTTCTAATTTATAGGATCCAGTTTAAATACTTGGGAACGCACACCTCTAGCAGCCATGGTTCCGTAAGTGAAACAAAATATATGAAATATTAAATAAAGCTTCAGCTATGTCGGCATGTTTGGGAGAAATGATGGAATTTAAGGTGAAATATCAGCCTAGATGAAGACTTTGAAAACGATAGCGGGCAAGACTTTTGGGAATATAGTAAGAAAAGAAAGAAATCGAAAATACAAGAGTTTTGCAGTGGTTTTAAAGTTAGTAAAAAAGCGAAAAGTTAGTCCTTAACCTAAAAACATAAACAACAGAATGTTATCTACGTCTTAAAGGAAAATTATTTAATTATAGCTTACTTAGTGTACAAGCCCATACGATAGAAAAGAAAGATGACGAAAAATATTATTTCTACCACAACCTGTATAAAAAATATGATCGATGCACACGGGAAGTGAAAATAATTGCTGGAAACCTTAATGCAAAAATTGACAAAGAGAAATTTTTGCAGCCAACTATAGGACAATAAGATCTTACATGACGAGTCAAACGATAACGGGTTGAGACTACTAAACTCTGTAATCACCAAAAACATCATAATACACACATAATACACAAAAAAACATCATAATATAATAAAACATCATAATAGATGCAAGGCATTCTTCCGATTTCATGGACGTCGGAAGTTATCGATGTCCAAACATAGTCATAGTCATCTTTATTGATCATTCAAAATAAATGTATAGGATACGTCACTACAGAATTTAGTATAAAAACATTAATGTGTATAATACAATATTCACAGTGTAAAAAAAATTGACAAAACATAAAATATATAAAATAACATTTTTACAATTAAAATATGAAGCTACTGCAGTTTGTCCTCAAGATATTCATTTATAGAATAATATGCTTTTCTTAAGAGTAAATCTTTAACATTTTTTTTTAATTTTGAGATGTGGTATTTCTTTCACAGTTTTTGGCAAATGATTGTATAAGGTCAGTCCCATATATCTGAAGCAATTTTGAAATTTGGATGTTCTGTGTTTAGGAACTCGTAAAGATTCAGCACTTCTTGTATTGTAAAAGTGATTGTCAGAATTACTGGACTGGAAATGTATTGATTTCCTCTTTGACATAAAGTAAATATTTATAGATATATAGGCAGTAGAAAGTTAAAATTTGATTTTTAATAAAAACTGGTTTACAAGACTGTTGATAATCCAAATTAAAAATTTTACAGATATTTTTTTTGGTTAATGAGCACTTTGTTACTATATACTGAGTTCCCCCACAAAATTACATTATAGCACATGTGGCTGTAAGCAAGGCTATAATAAACGTTCATTATTCCGAGATAGGTAGTGTGGTTTTAATTCTAGATATAGCATAAAAAGCTTTATTAAATTTCATGTTCACTGAATTCACTTGCTTTGACCATTTGAGATTACAATCAATGAATACACCCAAAAACTTTGTAGAGTGAGTGGAAGATAACATATTGTTTCTATCATGGATGGTTAAGATATAGTCATAGTCATAGATAGTCAAAAATCGGAGGAATAATATAAAAGTTAGATTGAAACAAAACAATTAGTGTGGATAATGATGAGAAAATAGAAAGCCTGGATGCGGGAAATGTGTAGGAACTGTGGACAAAATTTACAAATAATAATTGAGAAGACAACAAAAATATTGGGGAAAATCAAACCAGTTAAAAACACGAACGGTTTGACAAGGAGGGTTAAGAAGCAACAGTTAACGAAACGGATCACACCTGAACATAAATCAAACAGGATGCACAAGAGCAAAGCAGGAATACTGAACCCTAAGTAGAGAAGAAAAAATATTACATACAAGAAAGTGACCTATACGCCGTAGACGGCGATACTGTTTATATACAATAGTTCGATACAAATCTTCGCATACGCTGATGACATTGACATTATTGGAGGTAGCAAGTGACATAGTAAACAATATTTCGTAGCCTCGGACACGGAGGCGTAGCCTCGAACAGGTCAGTCTAGTCATCAACTAAAACAAAACCAAATACACGCAGTATTGTTCTGAAGCTATTTTCTTGTGGCATTGTAAATTAATTACTATTTAACTGGGAATAAGCCACAATTAAAGATAAAAATACGTTTATTGACGTTTCAATTTCCACTTCGGAAATCGTTCTCAAAATACAAACAGTAAATTAAACAAATTTTGTTTTTTGTTACATAGTGAAAAATTCTTCTAATAATTTAATTTTATCTGACTCATTTATATTGACAATTCAGACATACATTACGCATTTTAAAGTAGACGACTTTAAAATGATATTGCCAATATTGTTGAGTTGCGCTCCTGGGACGACTTTACTTATAAGATAGTTCATTCAATTACATGAAATCAACTTTAACTTGAGAATATCCATCAGAAAAAAATCATAGCATGTAATTCGTCTTTAAAAAGACAAACACATGACATGATGACAGTAAAATTCTCCTGTTAGTGATTCCATAGTATATTATGAGGGAAAAACCAGGAAAAAAACCTCATAATACTATCCCGACATTATTATCACGTATTTGTTCGTGAATTTAGTTTACCTTCAACAAACATCAAAATTCTGATTTTATATGTTACGTTATTTAAAAAACATAAATGATGTATCCTCTATATGTTACTGACTTACTAATACTGGTATTTTCTTATTAATAACTTCCTCTTTCAATATTGGTAATCAGATCCTACTACATTCTGCCGAGGAATTTGCGACACAATTGGCCTCATTTAGCATAATTAGAGCCGCTTCTTTGATTTTTCTTTTTTTACCATCCGTTTCTTTTAGAATTACATTTGAATTATTCCATTGAACCCTATGTTCATTATCCCATGCGTGTTTACATATTTGAGATCTATCAAATTCTCTATTTTTAATATAAGATTGATGTTCACTTATTCTAACATTTAATGGCCTTGATGATTCACCTAAATAAAACTGATCGCATTCACAAGGTATTTTATAAATGCAATTCTTTGTCCTTTCTTGTTCATTGTTAGGTTTGGTTTTGGATAAAATAGATCTCAACGTGTTTGTTGTTTTGAATGTTGTTGAAATGTTGAATTTATTTCCTATCCTTTTAAGTTTTTCTGATAATCCTTTTATGTACGGTATTGTTATTTTCCTCATATTATTCCTTGTGTACGCTGTAGGATCTCGTTCTAAGTTGTTCTGTTCTATTCGATCGATTGTTGAAAATTCCTTATTTATAAACGATAAAGGATAATCATTTTTTAATAAAACAGATGTTAACAAATGTTTCTCCTCCAAGAACGAATTTTCGTTAGAACAAGTAATTTTGGCTCTATCGTATAAGGATTTAATTATTCCCTTTTTTACATTAATATTGTGATTTGATTTGAAATTTAAATATATATTGGTGTGTGTTGGTTTTCTATACACCTGAGTCTCATATCCAGTATCGTTCTTAGAGATTAAAACATCCAGGAAAGATAGCGTGTTATTATATTCCTTTTCCATGGTAAATGTTATTGTCTCTTCTTTATCGTTTATATCATTTAGGAATGTGTCCAACAACTCTGATCCATGAGGCCATATTGAGAATACATCATCTACATACCTCCACCATACTGTGGGTTTGAAATTTTGTTTAGAAATGATATTTGTTTCAAAATCTTCCATAAATATATCGGCTAAGAATGGAGATAAACTAGAGCCCATTGCTAGACCAAAATTTTGTTTATAGAATTCATTATTTAGTTGAAAATATGTATTATCAGTACATAATGTTAATAACTCCATTATAGCCGATATGTTTAGTCTTGTTCTAGTTGCCAATGAATCATCACTCTCTAATTTTGTCTTGACTATACTTAAAGTCTTATTTAATGGCACATTCGTAAATAAACTATTTATGTCAAAACTCACCAAAGTATTATTTGAATTAAATTCAATATTTGATAATTTATTTAAAAAATGTTGTGTACTTTTTATGAATGTGTCATTTTTATTTGTAAATGGTTTTAAAATATTTAATAAAAATTTTGATAGTTCACTACAAGGAGAATTCATGGTACTACAAATGGGTCTAAGTGGTATATTCGTTTTATGAATTTTCGGTACTCCATAAAAATGAGGAGTCTTACTGTAATGAGGTGTAATTAATCCTCTCTGATAACTTGTTAAAACATCTTTAAACTTGAATAAAGTTCTATATATTTCTTTTTCCAAATTTTATTTTTATCTTTAATTGTGGCTTATTCCTAGTTAAATAGTTATTCAAATACACGCAGGTTACGTAGAATCATGTAGTAAATGATCTTGTATAACTTTACAAGTCATATCTTTGAACGTGCTGACAGCTTCATATACCCTGGCAAGATGGTGACTACTACCAACAAAACAAGCAAAGAAATTAAAAGAAGAATAAACCTTACAAATGGAGGACATACATATGGACTCCAAAAACAATTCCACGCAAGAAACATCCAAAGAAGAACTAAATTTATTTTATACAAACACTACTGAGGTCAGTCCTCGCATATGGGGCGGAAACATAGACCCTAACGTAGAAGAATGAAAGACTTTTGGGAATGGTCGAGCGTAAAATATTCCGTAAAAGATATAACTACGAATTATACTAACTCTTTAATGAATCAGCCGTAACGTTAATTAAAATACGGGTTAAGCTCATAATTTGAATGCCAGAAACACGATCGCTCAAAAGCTAACCACAGGAACACCTGTAGGAAGAAAAAGAAAAGGCCGACCGCAAATTAGGAGGTTGGATGGAGTTGAAACCTACTTAGATGTATTATAAATCAGAAGATGGCAACCGTTCACCAGAAACCTAACAGAATGGCGACGAATCTTGAAGAAGGCCAGGATCCACAAAGGATTGTCGACTCAAAGATGATGCTGATGAACAATATAACAAAAATCTCTTTGTAAATTAAAAAATGAAAGACGTTGTGAGATGATTTGTTGTGTTATTGGAATAATTTTTTTTGTCAGTTTTTGTTGGCGGAGCTACTATGCACTTAATACATATTTTTGAGTTTAGTGATATTTGAATTTTAATGTAGTTTAAAGATTCATTTTATGTGGGACGCGATTTTCTAGGAAATCTTCACGAGACCATTTGTGAAACTTGACTCGAAACGAAATTACTGTAGTGAGATTATTTCAGTTATTTAGCGAGGGTGACTATCTTACAAGCACGAGAGCCTCTGATTCGAGTGTTTGTAAGTAAGCCCGCGGGTATACATATCTATTAATGCCCACGGTGCATACAAACTTTTATGTCATACTAGTTTGTTGTCGTATTCACAATCTAAATGTTTTAAAAATTCAGAAAACTAGTAGAGTGAGCAATACCATCGTTAGGGTAATGATGTCATATATGATCATACATGAACATCTGCGGCTGTCAAACCTAAAAAGTGAAAATGTCAAATCTACCTATCCCCGGATCTTTCCAGAATTGTCAGTTTTATATGGATTCTACAATGTTATGTAGTTATAATAACTTAATTCCATATTTTGTAGCTTTAATAATAAATGTTAAGAAGTTATCAAATGTTTTTGTCTTTATGCCTGTGTGGACCATAAAGTGCACTTGATGCACGCACGGGTATAAAGTAAAGTAGCAAAAAACAAGACAATAATGAACTAGTGTGACAAAAAAATAATTGTTGGTACCATAATGTTTAAATTTATACTTTGATATTCAGACAAAAGTAAAACTTCACAAAGAAACTAAATTCCTGTAGTTGGCTGTATACCATGTAAAAAGGTATAATAATAAAAACCCTATGGGGATACATCACAACACAGAACGTTTTCGGAATAACTACTCCATCATCAGTGCTATCTGGATGTACATGTTTGAAGCCACTAAATATGTGGGTAAAAACGCTTTAAATGTACTTTTGTACATGTACGTGTCTAAACCCTTAGACGGAGTGTCTGTGAGGACTTGTTGATAGAAACTGTTGTATTATTGGACATTCTTGTAATCCATTTTATGAATTAGCTAATGTATAATGACACATCTTTCGCAAATGAGTTGTTTTATAGAATTAAAAATACGTAAGAATAGATAGATTTGTTCAATTCAATCAGTTCTTACCTGAAAGTGGTTCAATACACTCTCTTGCTCATCAGCTTCATATCCAGATACAAGCAATCTTGTAGGTCGATGATCTACAGTGTGTTTTTGGAAAGTAACAACAGGTGCAGCAGGTACTACGGTCGTCACCGGCGCAATCCTGTTAATACTACGCACAGGTCGAGGTTCTGAAACAATAAAATCTATTAAATATATGCAAATTTCAATTTTTCGATCAACCTGTCATTAGTTGACTAAACTAATTGATAAGAATCATATTGAAATTTGTAAAACTTTAATGTAGTAATTACATAGTGACAATAATTAATTCTAATAATTCGCGAACTTGACCATCGTATCACTTTAAAGATCATCTTAGTATAATAGAACAGAGAGCGAAAATTGTGAGAGTTTGTAGAAAGTGCGTACATAAATCACGACTTAGATTTTATAAGGTAGATTCGACAGTTTATATTAAATTTATTACTATTAGTAAAAAAACCTCTGTTAAAAAGTCAGAAAAGAAATCAATTGGCAATTGGACAATATTTAAGATGTCATGCACACTTACTACCTAGTTGAGACTTGAAGGGTACCCCCGTTAAGATAGGCAAAATGATCTCAATCTGTGATTAAAAAAGATTTTAGCCCGTCACCCCCACCCCCAAATGTCAAAATTTTTTTTTTGGGATCCCCCGAAAAACTTTTTTTATGAATTTTGGAGATTTTTTTCCATTTTATAGACTTGAAAATAGATCAAATCAAGGTTTTTTTTTATAGGTTACATACATATTGGATTTGAAATTTTCTCGGGAGCTATATGTGGTTTCAGTTGTTTTCCGGGTTTGACTCCACGTTAAATAGTTTTGGTTTTTCGAAAAACCATTGTTTTGACGACATTTAGGCAAGGTCACACTTGCCATTGTCAAGTCAGATTAGTTCTGCTTCTTCTTGATGTTGCAGGAGTTCTCGTAAGACAGTTCACCATAATACACCTGCATGCAAAACATGTTGCATACCATCAAGACAGGTTTAATATATTACTTCCATTAATAAAACGTGAAGAACTCCAAATTACATTTTAATTATACTGTTTTTGTTTTTTCTTTTTGTTCTCTATGGATCAGTGCTAAAACACACCATTAAAAGATGCCATAAACGAAACTTTACTATCCTTAACTAAATTTTAAAATGTATTTTGTCCATTATTTTATATGTTATATTTTATGTGTTATTAATGTTGAGTGTCAAAGCTTTATATAAATAATCTCAACGACTAGTAACTTGCACTGACGAATTGTGATATATTGTAAATATTTACACATTCTTCTTATTACAGTGTCTTGAAAAAGAATAACACAATTCCGAACACTAGACCAAAAGTCAAAAGAGTGTTTCTGTAACATCCCGGCCGAAGCTAATTTTTTTTTCTTAATGTGATAATATGAGTTTGCTTTAGAAAAATGGTCAAAAATTACGGTTTCCAGCTGTTAAAAAGGCGAGGTATCAAATATAAAATAAGACAGCTACCGCGTAAGAGCTACTGGTTTGAAGCATCAGTTGTGCGAGTTTTTAAAGCATGCATCGATAGATATATACATTATCACTTTTCAAACCAGTAGCGTTGCGTACTAGCTGCCTTTTATTTTATCTTTGATACCTCGCGTTGTTAACAGCTAAAAACTCTAATTTTTCTCATGCAACCTCATATCATCATATTAGAAAAAAATTAGCTTTGATTTGATATAAAAAGCATGCACACACGTCATGGGCAGTGTATTTTATTTAAAAAATAAATGAAGGAAATAAAGTTTTTGTCAAAAATTAATTATTAATTAAATTTAAATTATTTGCAGCCATTTTAGAGTGGCAACCTATTATCAATGTATTTTCCTACTTTTAAATGTATGTAAAAATGTGATTAACTACGTTATAAACGTAGTTATCCTGCAGTGCGATCGTGTACTATTACGACATTCAAAAATTTGGCAAAACACCTTTAAACCCCCAAAAAAAAAAAGAATATATTTTTCACAATTTTTAGGGGTTTTGGCGGGGTTAAACATATTATTTGATTTATTCAACCTGAATAAATTTTCTCATATTTTTAATTTGTATGTGATTAGAAAACACGACTCAATTTGTATATTTTTATACACCCGTAAGTTGAATGTACATAACCTAAAAATGCATCTTTTTTTTCGAAAAAAAAAGCGCATAATTTTTTTTTGGGGGTAGCTGTAGGTCCAATTTTTTTTTATTTTGTGTATTTGATCAAAAATTATCTATCTATTTTTTTTTCAGATTTTTTCCATCCAAACAGTTTTTCGGATTGTTGAAGATGGCGCAACATACGGAAAAATCTGAAAAAATCAGAGATATAGTTTTTAATCTTCTACATGAATAAAAAAATGGACCTGCAGCTGCCTCAAAAAAAATGTATAATGTTTAGTTTCTTAAAAGTTAAAATCTTAAAATTTGTCAGATAACTTATCCTGTTCAACCGTAAAAAATGGCTCCACATGCTAGCAAAGAAACTAAAAGCAAGAATTGTAACGAAATTAGAAGATGGTTAGTCAATATCTGCCGTAGCGAACCATTTTAACGTAAGTAGAACAACAGTCTTTAATATTAATAAAAGATGGAGAAAAAAAGAATCTCTAAAGAAAGCAAGGTTCCTTTAGAAGATGCGAAAACTGCAAGAATTGTCACAGTTTCCAGGAAGAACAGTTGTAGAACAACTAGAAGTGTAGAACAGATTCTATTTGCTTTTAATAATAAAATAAATGTATCCACAGATTCTACTGTTAACAGTTCTATGCATTAAAATTTTAACTTAAGTTGTAGAAATGTTAAAATGTTTTGATAAGTTTTGATTGTTAATAACAACTAAATATTCATAACGGGGTCAGATTCTCCAATTTACTCTTTGTATTTACACCATACTCAATAGATATAATCTTGAAACATACACTGCCTGACGTATTGAGTCTTTATTTGCAATGGTAACTTGAGTTAGTTTAGGAGAGATATTTAAATAATCGATTAAGTTAAAAAGTAAATACATACGATATGCGATACGATATATATTATTTCTTAAAATATTGAAAAGAAATGAATTATATTAATAACATTCAAAACTTACTTAAATTATTTTTAGACAACAAATGTCTTCCAGGTGTATATCTTCTGGCAATACCTCGTCCTCTGGTAGGTTTCGAGTTAGCGACACGTGCTCTAAGTTCTAAGATTTTCTTTTGAATTTCAGATGTATCTGCGCCTTCTTGTTGTTTTGTTATTAAGTCCAACTCAGTATCAAGTAATTCCTTCTGAGTTTCTTCTTTGGTCTTTTTGGGTGGCGTGCTTTTAGCAGATAAGGCAGCAGCCTCAAGATCTTTCTTAATTTCCTCGATTGCTTCTTGTGTTTTTTTAATGGTTTCTTTAACAATATCTCGCTGAGGACCAGTAGGAACTAAAACATAGAATTCAATAAATCAAGAACTATATGTTACGGAACAAATGAATAAGGATTTATTATACTTCACTACAGAGACAAATATTACATTTCAAGTTGAGTCAAATGGTAATTATATGCATTTATATGTATTGGAAAATTATTCATATTGATATGTTGTTCTGTGGGTTCAGAGATTAAGTAAAGTACGAAGTGGTTTAACTAACTTTATTTAAACTCAAAACTCACTTGATTACAAATATCATAGAATGCGTAGAATCATCAATACTGATTTCAAAACCCGCCCCTGCTGGATTATATAATGAGAATGGACTATCTCGAAACAACTAACCGCCAAATTCAAAACTCTGAAATATCTCGAAGGTCATGTCGTTATCGGAGTTATAGAATATTTCGGCGGCGGGGAAAGTCCTCGATCTCTTTAACGCACAGGACAGCAATCAGGGGTATCTGATTTACAATACTATGTCATTCATATGTATTAGAAATAAGGTTTAAAAAAATGTGAAAAACTTTAGGTTCAAAAAGTTATATGATGCGAAATTACTTAAACAATATGCAAATAAAGACAACCAAACATGTGACAACAAATTGTAAAAATGTTGGAAAAACAGAAAAACCATTCGAAGAATATAAAAGATAAATGGCGCATAGAAAGAAGTAGAAGAATACTTTTTCCTTAAGTTAAAATATATTGAAGGTCAGATCCGTAATGTCTGAATGTAACAGCTGACATAGAAACATTTCAAGAAAAACAATATTTATATAGGAATAACATATACACTTAAAATATCTAAATCGCATTCGTATCTATATAAACAAAAATGATATTAAAATGAAGCAGGAACCCAAATAAAAGCAGATTATTCATTTTCCACTCAGTATAAAAAAATAATAACTTAACTACTTACGTTTTTCTAGTTTCTCTATTAGAACCTTCTGCTGCGACAATTGTTTCTCCAACAAATCCTGTTTCTTTTTTCTTAAATCGCTCTGAATTTTTAAAACTTGCTTTCTTTGAACATCTTGGTTTTTCTTAACCTTCACCTGAGTAGCGATCAATTCCTGGTTTTTCTTAATGGCTTCCGCGGCTTGTAATTTGCTTTCTTCCTTAGATATAGGTTTCTTCTCTTCTTCAGCAGGGAGTTGTTCGGCTTCATCTGCCTTTGGTTGAACTAGATTCAAAACTTTGTTAGTATTGGATACTACTAAGGAAGTGCCCCCTCCCAGACGATCCTTGACGGAGCGCTGTGGTGCAGGAGGCACATTCTCCTGTTTACCTTCTACTGTTCCAGCTGGTCCAGGGATTTGCGGCTGCTGTTGGCCAATGTTATGCCAAAATACCTTGATAAAACGGTTGTTGAGAACAGCCTCGGTACTGCGATATGCCGCGTTCGCTTCAGCGTGACTAGAAAAAGTTATCAGAGCTGCTTCTGGATCCCCTTCGTATTGAACCTACAAAATTAATTATTTTCAGTTGAAAGTATCGTAATAAGGTCATTTTATCTCATCACTTTTTTATATCAACATTTGGACTTAATATTCGAGATATATGTAAATCCTGATATCACTGAATATAACTAGTAATTAACGATTATTGGATTAATCAACAATGACGACAATCTATAAGCTATAGTAATACTGAGTCCTGAATTTAAAAACTTTAATAAAAAATGCATAGACAGAAAGCGTATAGTTAAGTAAATTTACTAACCTGTATATTTACAATTTTTCCAAATTTCCCAAAATGATTATTTAAATGTGTAATACTATTCAATCCTTGTGGCACTTTTTTCAGTTCTAGGGAACAATTCTGCGGATTTTTTTGTCTATTGCCTAGACGATTATAGTCAAACTTTTTCTTGTACATGTTTTCATGGTCCATGGTATTCATAAAATTCCCTTGCTGATTATACATTGGCGTATATGTCTCAGGTTGTTTATTATCCATCACAGGCACTGGAATTAACTCTCGATTGTGATTAGGTGGTGGTACAAACTGGCCCATGGGTGGTACCTGGTAACCAAAATCAAAAACACCCTGTATGAAAAGGGCATAAGTATATAAGTAGTGATGATAAATGAAAATGTTATATTGTGGTGATATTAGATATTCGATAAATGAGAAGTATGTAATAAGGTATTTTTATTCTTTACGAAACAATGCCTCACACTATTTTTTAATTGTGCTTAAATCTTACTTTGCAAATAGAAGGTTATCTTCCAAGCTTCTGTAAAAATACTTTTTGTAAATTATTCGGAGCAGCCATGAATTTTATTAGAGGAATAATCTTTTTGTGAAGTGTGTGTCTTAAGTTATTATTATGAATAAGTGAAGTGTTAGTGAAGTAGGTTTCATTGTCTTTAAAAAGAGTTAATTATTATACAACTACTACGGTACCTCGGGTAAAAGTTTTCACGCGGTTGAAGTTGACTGCTTTGTCTACAGTGATACCGAGACGCAGCGCAATAGGTTTTGGAAATATTAAGGCAAGTATCATTGTGTGTCTGTAATTGTGTACGAATGCACAGTAGATTTAGTATTTGTAATATCATGTAAGAACACGAAAGAGAGGACTCGAGTTAGTAGTGCAAAGTAATCAAATCTGTTGTCATTTTTATGAGTTGGATAATTTGCACAAAATATTCTTTCATTACCACTCACATTAAATATTAAAAACTAGAATATACACGAACGACCGACAAATGCATCTCCAAGCTGAGAGCTTTGTTTACAATGACGATCTTGGTATCGTTGTAAAAGGTAAAACCTTCGTACAGATAAAGTTGTCAATGGAAGAAGCTTTAAACATGATGTCAACCTAATACAAACAAAACTCACCAAAACCACAGAATAATAAACAAACAGAATACCCACTCTCCACGGAAAATTAAGTACGCGCATCTCCTCCGCGCAGACGTTCCGCCATGTTTTAGGAGGATTTTTAAAGAAATTAGTGTTGTTTATGTGGTGTGCATGGAAAAATTAACCAGGTTTATTTGACTTACGGCAATCATAGACATACTATACAATTATATTAACAATGTTAAATATAATAACATAAATATAATATAATTAAACATAAATATAAACAATTACATAACCATACAAATCATATGTCTGTGTCCTCCTAAAACATGGCGCGCGTGCTGAAAAACTTCAAAGGCGGCATCTGAGAGTGGCCCTTCTGATTGTTTATTATTCTGTGCCAAAACCAAACCCTGTTAAAACCCAAGTCCATTTAGGGCATGAAAATGTAATCTGGGAGAGTTAACACTTAAAACATACTGACAGATCCAAATATCTTGTAATCATATCAGACCGCTCATTAACATATAAACACCACTGTAAGAATACAAGAGCAAAGGTTGCTACGAGAAACAAACTTTGTGCTTCTCTACAGGAGAATATCCCTGTTCCGTATTAAGTAGATTTAGGCACGCTCAACAAGTAACTATTGCATTAAACCCCTCTATCCCTACTTTAACGTGCAGCTGGTTTTGTATCATCAGAAGACCATAGATGCATGTCTCAATATGTAGAAAAGTTCAGGTAAACTTTCCATGAAAGACACCAATTATACAAGTTCGAGGAACCGCCAGGAACCAGCCGGTTTAATTAAAGAAAAACATTTATGAAAAGCGTAGCGTCGAATCGCCCGCTACGCTTGTTGCCCCTGCACCCAGAGCCACCTCACAGAATAGACCTGGACTGGAGAACTTTACGGGCATTTAACCGTATATGCATCATCGTTGCCGCTGTAAAACAGAATCTCATTAAATGGGGTATAAAGACAAAGAACGACGCATTCTGTAAATTAGGGAAATACTGAATGCGGAACGCCTGAGAGTATGCAAACTTTGCCCATTACAGTGCACCCTCGATTACTTATGGCTCGCAAGTATAAAGGCAGTAGCTCGCTACTGCGCAGAAAAGTTGTAGTTGGATCTAGTCCTGAAAAAGTAAAAGAAAGTAACTAGACAGTTGGGACTGAAATCAGCGCATCAATGAAACTAACCAAGGACTGAAAAAGGACCAGTGTGCGACCATGATCTGTGCATTCAAAGTGATTATTTAAGTAGCTATTCAGCAAGCAAAAAAACCTAAACGACTGTCACAAACATGACCGCAAGGGCACAAAAAATGACCTTTGTTAGAAATCTACAATCTACACATCGACAATACACAGCTGCGTACTAGTCTCATCTCTCTAAAGAATTTTTGATGTGAAATATATTAGAAAAAAATGAGATTTACGTTGGCAATAACAAGTATCCGTATAATCAAGCTTTTAAGTGGAATTACAAGAAGATCTGAGTATTTATTAAGATAGTGGGAGAATAGAATTTAAAAACCCTCAATTGAAAAAAAAATGAAACAGATTATTTTAGAGCGTAAAATAAAAAATATATATAAAGTTTTCTCTGATTCCATGTGCAAGTGTATATTTGGTTAGGTATCCATAAGCTGATAAGACACTAATGTAAAGTTAAAATTCCATAAAGTTCTAAATGTTTAAACAAAAGTGTGACTCATTTGATTTAAAATTACTGATTTATCACAATTGTGTTGTAATTTGACAAAAACCCGGATAGATGTTGTAGAAGAAAAAATGTATACACTGTACTATGATTTAAGGAATAAATGATTTGTAATAGGTGGATAAATGTGATGTAAAAGATTCTGAGACCAAAAACAAAAGAAGTGACTTCTGATGTGGACAGCACAAAGTAAATTTATAATAAATCAAAATATGAACTTTTGCAACCATGAGTAACTAACACAAATAATTGAGTTGAAGTCTCAGAAAAGAAAATCGACATATACAACAAGCTAGTGGCAAACGTCATACAGTCACATTGAAAAAAAAAAATTTCAAAGTAGAGTCCAAGATGATAAACTTATTCCTTTACGGAAAGCTACCAATAAATTCAAAAGATTTATGAGAATTATGTGACTATTTCAAACTAGAAAGATAACTTATTGTATATTATTTATTAAAAGCTATGACACCACTCAATAAATTTAAGAAACAATATTTATTGTGGAGCAGATTGTAAATAATATAATATAATAAAAAAAAGTAGTACAAGAGTCGCTTGGGCCAGACGATCAAAGTCCAATTCTGTCAAATGTTGGATCTGCAATACCGGGCGACGAGTACCATTTAAGGTAATATAATAGACAGTTAAAAATTAAGTACTTAGTTTAAATGATATTTTGTTAGCAAAAGAAAAATAAACCACAGAAAAAGACAAATCCATTTTATAGTATTTGTGCCAAAATCTAATGAATAAAATTCAATTTACAGATAACAATCCACAGAGTTCTATTAAATGAACTAAAGGTCGAACATCGGTTAATAGGAGGTATGATCTTATTAATAGAGAATTGAAGTTCGCTAGAGAGTATAGAAGGGTCGCTTGGGCCAGACGAATGAAGTCCAATTCTGTCATATAATAAAAACCTATAAATATCACTAAAAAAGTATTCATAAAATGTTAAATAAATTATATATATATATATATATATATATATATATATATATATATATATATATATATATATATATATATATATATATATATACTTATACTTAAACTTACTCTAACGATACCCATTGGTCTTGGTCCTCTGAATCTCCCGTCTCTCCATATATGTGGCGCTTGAGGATTGTACGCGTTATCAGATCTCAACGGCATTCTTTGGCCCATCATTGGATGACCTGGAGCATTTAAAATTGGATTGGGTACAATTCCAGATGATACGACGTTGGGCGTACCATTAGGATTATACGTTAATACACGACTTAGGGTGGTATCTTCAAGTACCACTGGATCTATTCCGTGATCGAAAGGGCACATTTCTCCGCGCATACAATAGCCTATAAAAAAGCTTAAACATGAAAATCTAAGCATCTAAGTGGCTGTGTTCTGCATATTCCAAAATGTATTTGTAAATACGTAAATGTTTCTAGTTATATAAATTTTGTGTTACACTGTACATCTGTTACTACTTTATTTATACAGTGAACGGCTAAATTATGGAATATTATCATTATTTCGAGAACCGTATAGTGTTGAGGGAAATCCCGAAACAGGTCGAATTTTGTTATAAAATACCCATCTTATATCGTACATGGAGTAGGGATGACGTCACCGGTGTAGGTGTAGTAAAGTAATCGTTAATTTTTTTAAATAGAAATCGGCATAATGCGACACATCATTTAAACGAGAATTTAATTCTGTATTTAACGACATTACATTTTTAACTAAAATATTTTTGTAAGGGTACGAAAACAATTTTTTTTTAATTTAAATTTAACTAAATTACAACTAATGATTTAATTCATAATGTACTTTAAAGTAACCAAATTATGCATAACAATTATTTTAAATTAAGTGTTCGAAATGCCATACATCGGTTCCTGCCATGACTTTCTGAAGTAAATACTTAAAAAAAGCAAAAATAAGTAAAAATAATAATGGATACAAAAAGTTATCTCATAAACACTTAAACTTTTTGTCAAATATTAATTTAAGCAAGTGATAGTGGCATAGTAATATTTATTTCTGTAATATTTATTAACGTAAATGTTTTGATTTTGTGAATTGTCATCAGTTGTCAACTGTAATTTTTACTTTTGAATACTAAATTATGACTCACCTAAATGAAACACAACGCATAGAAATATTAATTCTTAGCGGATGTGGAGATAAAAAAGAACACAGAACGAGGTATGCAATTTATTCAACGCAAAATATCCAGACAGACCCATCAGCCAATCAACAGTAAGTAAAATAGTTCGAAAATTTGGAGAAACTGGGCACGTTAACATATTCCAAACGCTGGGAGTACTTTTGGATTCGTTGAATTGTATGTTTCAGACATATCTGGAGTCGACTTAATTATGTTTCCTTTGCTTTTATTTATTATTCAATATAACTTAAATAAGGAATGTTAGAAGTAAATGGATTCATTCTTTCTTTGAGAACTAGCACTGTAGCGAATAAAATATGTGATATTAATCTATTAATCAGCGTATAAGATATATATATATATATATATATATATATATATATATATATATATATATATATATATATATATATATATATATATATATATATCTGTACCGTGGAGGTAAACAGTCGTATATCCATAATGTATACATTTGCAGGAGAGCGCAAAAACATAGAGACTAGTCAATAAACTATAAAAAAATTGTACTTCCATTTTATTGAATTTAACGTCATTGGTACATTACACTACGAAAATGGCAATATATTACTAGATATTAGTATTGTTAAGAAATGCTTTACCTGGTTAACGATATCGGGAGTTACGACTTTTTACCTCTATGTTTTTAAACAGGTAATATGCAAAATAAAAATCGTAAGTGATGACAAAAATATTATATTCTGTATTTAAAAATGCAAAAACCAAATCACAATCTTTGAAACAAAAAAAAAACTCGTTAAGTAGAAAAAATATAAAACCTAAATATTTTTAATTTAGTTATCGCTGTCACTATCACCTGCTTGCTGCTTTGAAATTGGCAACTGTTAGTAGAAATGATGAAATTGCACCGGGATCCACTGGCAAAGCTTTAATAAATGTTCGTATTTTTTTTTGTGATACCTTTACAATTCGTACTCATAACAGGTAATTGATCAGGGAATGGTATTTGAGTTCTCGCTGATCTTGATACATTCAAACTCATAAAATTTTGGTTTGCAAAGTTTGTTTTATAATAAATAGTTAACGGCGACGCAGCGCGAACTTGAAAGTGCACCACAGTTGAAATAAGGAACTCTTGTTTTTCATTATTCCGTTTTTTAAAAATACATGGTGAGTGAGGTTTAGCATACAATATTTCGAAATTTTTGAAATCCGATACCTCCATTTCAATCACAGTTGCACCTGTAGAGCGGATTAACTGCTGCCAGTCCCAAGGCGTAACGAGTTCCATAGTTGCTTGTTTTTTTAACGTCCTTTCGATTAAACCATGAACATGGTCTGCCTCCATATGGGTATGCCCTCTCAACAAAAACTTGTGATCTATTGTTTTCAAATTTGGACAAATTTTTAGTTGCCATAGGTAACTGAACATCATCATTATATTACGATTTTGACTGGGATAATTGTCCAACCAAATAATTAAATGTTCTACCGTAGAATTTGCAAGAACAATTTCACTCCACTTCAATAATGCTGAAGCAATTTCATGTCCACCCCTTCCAGCTTTCGATTCGTCCCACACCATGCAGTAAGCCTTGTTTGTGGTGGAATCATAAATTGTCAGGTTTAGTGTCCATAGCTTTAACGAATAAAAGCTTTGATTATTTGTCAGGTAAGTGGTTGGAAGACATTTTTGTAGGTCAATCATAATCACTTTGGTTTTATCAACTGATAACTTACTTGTTATTTTGTCGTTCTTCTTTTCAGTATACCTCATATCAGCATCGTGAAGATGATCTTCATATTTTTGACGAACGGCAGCCGTTGCATCATCTTGATCACCTTGTTTGAGTTGTTGACTAAATTTATCGCATCCATCGCATGTATCAACTGAGGGAGTTTTAAATCCCAGGTTAAATTCAGAATTAAAAATTTTTTTATAAAGCCACAACTTGGCAATTTCTACTTTGGGAACTCCATCATCTTTACATTTTGCCAAATATAATTTGTACATTTTATCCTTATTTAATTCAGGTCCTAAATACTTCTTGCTAGTTTTGTTCCGTGTGTAGTGGCTTTCCTAACAAGGAAATGAATCTATGTGTGAGCGCACCCTGTTGAGCGTCGCATTGCTTAATTTGTTAGGCGGAACATGTCTACCTCGCATATCCAGCGATACAAATCCCCCAGTATCATACTTTTTCAAGGCATTGCGAACCACAGTTTCAGATATGCCTAGTGTATTGAGAAAAAATACTTTGCAAACATCAACTTTTTGTACTGTATTACCTGATTTTATATCAAAGTTGTAACTTATGGTTTGTTTTCTTTGATCATGTCTGCTTCCGTCTTTAGGTCTATGACGATCTGTAGATTTGGAGTGATGTGTGATGCCACAAATTGGCGTTTTAATTCCCAACTTTTCTGTTTCATCCAATAATTTTCAAAAATCTGCCTGTGTCGGTGAATTTGTTCACGCAATTTTTTCTACATGGTACACAACCTGGTTTCATTGATTTTGCTTTTATTTTTTTACCAGACTTAGCAATATGTTCTTCTCCTGCTTGAGGATATCAACTCAGATACTTAGCAATATCATTTATTGTAGAACTGGAGTTACGGTTGTTTACCACTACCGTATTCCAAAGCATACTATCGGGTATGCACGTATCTATGGATATACTACTGTTTACCTCAACTGACTAATGGAGTTGCGGTTATTTCTAAACGCCGTATCTAGGCAACTAATAATGCTGGGTGTACGAATCTTTTCCACCAAATGCTATGAAAACCTGACAATAAGAGCGTGATCTTAACTCCATTTCGGCAAAAATTGGAGTTACGACTGTTTACCTCTACGGTACAGATATATATATATATATATATATATATATATATATATATATATATATATATATATATATATATATATATAATGTATATACACCCATACTCAATGGAAATACGCAAAATTTAAAGGCGTTCAGAACATTTCATTAGTCAGGTATTTGACAACTTCACAATCTCCTGGATCAGGCGCACTCATTAAATTTGGTCACGTCAATCTACGAACGAAATCAGGCATTGCTGAAAACATTTAATGATTTAATTCTGTCAAGTGCGTTCTCATAGCAAGACAGAATCGTACTAGTGTATGTAAAATACATAGTTTTAGTATTTTTATTGTTTTTCTGGTAACAGTCGTTTTTCATACTTTATACTGAAATAATAAAAATGTAAGTTAAATTATGTTATTTTAATATTATTTTTGTAAAAAATTGATACGTTTTATATATACTTTTATGACAAATTAATGAAATAAAAAAAAATAATTTTAAAAGTGTACAAGCATTTAATTCCTAGCTGAGAATTTTCTTGTTTATTTTAACATTTTTTAGAATGTTAAAGACCTTTAGAATGAATTCTGTCCAGGGGGTCTAACAATAATATATTTTTAAATTACTCTTGGACAAATCAACCAATATAAATAGGCTTTATAGCTCATACAACTTAACAAATTTACTTTTTTGTAGTGTAACTGAGGTCACAAAAATACTAAGGGTCAATTGTTCGAACGCTAATCAAATCTTGATTGTAATCAAATATTTAATTGAAATCAAACACGTCACATTTTGGGATTATGTTAACTCATTTATTTTATTCAATTTTATTATTTTGCAATTTATAATTTAAAATGCACCATAATTAAACTCTTTCTGATGTTAATTTCACTGATGTTAATTTCATGTTTTTATTTACAAATCAATAATAATAATAATAATTGCGGAGACATCTACTCTTCATCGCGCGAGTTACAGTACAATGACCGCTACCATCCAGTAAATTCTACCACGTGGATTCTACACGGGACTACCGCTCGATCATTCTGGACTGAATTGCGACGTATTGGACTGCAAGATCAGCAATTATTAAATTATAAAAACACTATGTAAAAATCAATATTTTCAGTCTGATTTAATTTATTGTTGTTGCTACTAAAATCTTTGTAAGTCAAAATAAAAGTTTTATTTGTGAAGTTCAGTTTCTAAAAAAGTGTTTTTCCCAAGAACATTCATAATTCGCGATTTGTGCAGTAGATGACACAACACCGATCAAACTGAGGGAACCAGAAATGCGCATAAACCACCTTACTAAGAACGAAAAAATGCGCACCTGGATGGGCAAGCCTCTGCACGGGCGACA